CAAAGGAGCGCTCCGGCTTCCCCTCTTCTCCCCTTCGGCCGGGCTTGCGGCGTCTCGGGCGGCGGGGCGAAGGCGGCCGCCGACTTCGGGACCCTCGGCGGAAGGCGAGCGCACCATGGCGCCTCGGGCGGGGCGGCTGTAGGTGCCTCGCCGCTCGGCTGTGCCCGGGCGCCCAACCTGGCTGGGAGCGCGCCGTCGAAGACCCCTCCGCTCGCGCAGCCGGCAGCTCCCCTGCACAGGTGAGGCGGGACGGCGAAGGCGCGGGGAGGGCAGGTGCCTCGCCACCGCCCGCGGACGCGTTCCGGGAGAAGGGGGGTCCGTCCCGAGGGGGCGCCGGGCCTGGAGGCGAATCCCGCTCAGGTTCCAGGGAGCTGGGGGGGGAGGGAAGCGAAAAAGTGCCGTGCCCTCCGACCCGTCCCGCCGAAAGGCTCCTTCGCGGTGTCCCTGGCGCTTTGGGCGCAAGAAGCAGGCGCGCTGCTGACATCCTGTCGTTCTCTGCAGGCGCCTGTTGAGCGTGTGTGTCGTGTGGAGGGGAGTTACGTATGTTTATTTTCTGTGCAGAAGCATTGAGCAGGGGCTACAGGCGGCGAAGGGGCCGGGATTCCCCGGCCAAGTCCCAGGATGCGTGTTAAGGGTCACTTCTGAACAAAGCGCATTAGGGATCCCAGACCCCTAGAAAAACTTGCTTGCAGTGTGCATGCTGAGCAATCACATCCAGTAAGTAATGCTGAATCCGAGTAGGGGACAGGCCAGCAGGTGAAATTCTCCCTCATGGCTCCTCAGTATTCACGGGTCTAGAAGAGCAGATGGAAGACGCAGGATCAGTGGACATGATGATTCCCCTTCCATGCTTCAGTAGTTGTCTGGACAGGTGAAAGGACGCCACAGCAAATGGTTAAAGGAGATAAATGTCACACGTGAATGTACATGCTTTCTCTTAGGAAAAGCATCATATTTGAGCTGTTAACTTGCTACTTAAACTTTCATAGGTAACACGCAGTAACAGTCTACAAATATTCAAGTAAAGTGTCCATGTTATGAATCTGGTAGACATTTTGCTACAAGGAATCGCAGGTTACCTTCCAAGGTGGCATACTTTCTGTTGCTGCAGGGAAACATGACTACTGTTTGGGAGTCTGTGTCTGGCTTTCCAGTCCCACTTCCTATCCCTTGCGGTTTTCTGTTCAGGCTTCCAACAATGTCTTGTTTTGAGAGAGAAAACTGCTTGCCCTTGTTCTACCCCCCCCCCCCCCAAGTTCGTGCAAGAATGTCTTCCACTCAGCATGCCTTTTGCGCTTCCAGGGGAGGTAGGCTGGGAGTCTGAGTTGTTTTGTTCATGGTTCAGTGTTGGGTTTTTAATAGCTGACAAGTTTAGCATCACATCCAGCTTTCTCTTAACTCTAGAGTTGATTAGAAAGACACTGCGAGAGATTGCTAACTTTTGACAGCTTTAATATTGTTGGTACCATAGAATGAAAATATGTGTAGCTGAAATAGCCCTGAAAGAATGACTTAATTTGTAAAAGGGTTCACTCTGTTTCCAGAACTAGGGCTGAGCCCTGGAACATGTGAGGTAATAATAAAGAGTGGTCTCTAAGCACGTACACAGCCACTTCTCTTCCCATTACCTACAGTACCTTGTCTCTAGATAAGCAACATTAGACATTTTGGTTTTTAGGGTCAACAAGATGGATTCCAGGCTACTTGAGCCCCCAAATCTATGATTTTCAGCAACAAGGTTCTTCTGTATGTATGTTTTATGTCTGACTCTCTGAATCATCCAGGGGTTTTATACCCAACTACACCTAACAAACTGGCCCCTTAACTTTGTGACCTAGTTTATAACACCCCATCCTCACTACTGAAGAGGGGTTATTCCCAAAAGTATATACCTGTCTTGTTACCCAAATAGGCAGTTTCCTAATTACTTGGGGGAATTAGTAAAGGTGACAGAGTGAGAGGCGGGTAACTGGGATTCTCCAACTATGCATACCAGGATTTTTCCCTTTAAGAGAACTCTCGAAATAAACCAGGCAGATGTTCAACCAGAAAGGTTTTATTAAAAAAATAAATAAAACACATGCAGAAGAACTAACTAAGAAAACAGGGAGGAAGGGAAGAGATTTTTAGGGAAGGGCGATAATTATCGATCTTGAAGAGGTCCATAGAAGCAGCAAGTTGAAGAGCAAAATGGCCAGCATTTTGGGACGTGAAAGAGTAGACCCAAAGGGAAGTGTGTATGTGTGGAGGTTTCGGAACAGACACACACTGCTGGGACAGCCGGGTGGTCCAGTTATAGGGCAAAATGTGCCCTTAGGTAGGGATGACATGCTGCTCATAAAAAACAATGACTAAGCGGCTTAACCAGAGGTAGACAAAAAAGGTGTGAGAGGCTTGATGGCTCTACAAGCACCAGACAGGAAGGGCAATTGGGAAAGTAAAAGATTTAAGTGCTGATTAATCGCTGATTAATCAAGGGGTAATGGGTATGGGGAAGTAAGGCTGGGGCAATGATGGGATTAGGCTGAGTGAATCAATAGGTCGTGGGTGACCCATTGTTCTAAAGTCATGTATCTCTCCAAGGCAAGGAGGGGAATATTAGACAGTGAGACATTCTGACCTGAGTTTTAAAATTGTTTTCCCAGGTTGATGCCTGGCTGGCATCCATCTTGGTCCACTTCTGACCCAAGCAGTGCCCTGCACCTCAAATATTGCGGTGGTATTAAGAGGGGTGTTTCTCTCTCTTGCTACCTGAAAACTGCCCCTCTGCAGGAGGAGGGATCTGACTGCTAACAGTTTAACCCTTCCTAATTTCTTCAATTAGTTAAAACTGAACAATCCACCTGGTAATTCTTACTGTTTTGAGAAGGATGGATGGGATCAGGCCTGACATCAGCTATTAGGAGTTGTAATAATGCCTACAGTGCATTTGTGCACCAATAGTACCATGGCCTTTTCAGACCTGGGACCCAGAGAGCTGCAAGAATGTGACAGGAAGCCATATGACTGTGGAGTGACACCTGAAGTCATTCTTCTCTCCCATCTCAAGACTGAAACAGCAAAGCAATATCCACAAGGTTCTTTCACATTCCTTCAGCTGGCAAGGTTACTCCCTAGGGGAGGTAACACTATGCTTCTAAAAGACTGTGAACCAAACTAGACATGATAGCAAGACATACATAAACAGATTTCCCATGGTTCTTTTAATCTTAAAAGCTGAATGTATGACCCACTTTAGATTGGGACTGGGGGGAGGGAGGTTAACCCTTTTCTCTATGCCATTTCCACAATGTGTTCCCTCCCAGCTGCTATTTGCCCTGTGCGTGGGGGAAAAACACAACCATACGGGTTTCTGGAGAGGTGGAATATACATTTTCTAAATCAATCAATCGATATGTGACTAAATACCGATACCCTTTCCCTGGCACTCCAGCTCCAGTCCAAATCAGCCCTCCTTCCAAAAAGCTTTAAAAAGTCTAGTTTAGTATATATGCAAAGGGTTTCTTTTATAAATGAATTTTTATTATTTTCTCTTAAAAGGGTGGGATACAGAAGGAAAAAAGGGGTAGGGGAGAAATATAGATTTATCAAATTTTTAAAGTATTATGAATTGTTATGTACAACAAGTAAAATCAGATATATTACTGTTGTGTATGTAATGTAATGTATTATAATGGAATTAATGTATTGAGCTTGAATCAGACAAGGTATTGTAAATAGACCTATCAGAACAAAGGTAGTTCTGGAGGGAAGCAAAGTGATTGGTCTTTATGTACAGTATTTGATTGGACCTTATCTGACTTGTGGGTGTGGCTTGCCAAGCCCAGACAGTTTAAAAAGGAGCCTGCTGCTCCATTGTTTGTCTCGTTCTGGTTCTTCTGACTTCGTGTTCAAATAAAGCTGTTATCACTGTTCACCTGCTGCCTCGAGTCTCATATCTAACAATTACCAAATGTGTTACATATTTCCAATATAAAGCAAACAATAAAACTTGAATATTACAGAATTACAAAATTTGGGATAGATTCTCTCTTTAAAGAATAGACAAAAACTTTTCTAAGGTTAATAATAATCTATTAAGGATAAAGGATATCTTTAACACAAAAGGTTTCTTAAGTGATTGATCTAGATCTGAGAAAAGGATCAGGCAGAGGTAACAGATTTGCCATTCCTGCCTCCCTCTGTTTGAAGGTAGTTGGGGCATTGTCAAGCCTCCAGAGTTCCAAGTTGTGGTGCATTATTAGAACACAGCCTACTTTGGGACTTGTTTTTTTAATCTAGTGAAGCACTTCCATCTGAAGCAAGCAGAAGAAAAATTATTCCTTTGGATTTATAAGCAGGCAGGTGGTTTGTAGTGCCACACATTGTCTCAGTATCACGGAGGTGGTAAAGAGCAAATTGTCCTGTGACTTGATCTTTGTGTAATTTTCTACTAATCAGTGTAAATGTGAGTTTGCTGAAACTTGAAAACAAGTTTTCCCTAACCACTTGTCTGTCTGAATGTGTTCAACTTTCCTAATACTTGTTATTTGAGCCCTTCTCCTTTTGAAGAACAGAACAACTTTATTTGAGCAGTATGGGAAACATGCAAAACATTCAGACAAAGTGCATTTTACATAAGTAGGAAAGTGTGTGGAAGGGTTTGTTTGCTATAGAGCTGCGTGTGGTACATTCTGAAAATAAAATTGGAGAACACTGAATTTGGTATACCCAAGCTTTTGTCACCAAGCTTGTTTTATGAAACTGAAAACCCAAATATTAAATACCACCAAATTAAACTATTAACAAATTCTAAATCCCTTTCCCTCTACCTGCTTAATCCCATCCAGCCTAATTGAATGGTCACAAAGCAATGTTTGTGGAAGCTGCTTGACCTACAAAGGTGCTGTACAATCCCCAAGGAAAAGGAAATCTATAGTTGTGAGATACTGAGTGAGAATACTTGTCTGTGTGCCCTGGCTGTCCTGATGCAACAAGGGACAGCAGCATGAGGATGCCCTTTGTGGAGGATAAAGAGGACATTTGAAAAGGTGGGGGGTAGCCCCTTAAGCATTGGTTCCACTCAACTTGCCTTGTCTTCTGATATCTAGGTCTAAGTAACTTTCCTGTTCATAACTGAACAAGTTACTGACCAACTATTTCGATTTCTTCTTTTTAGCACAGGTATTAGGTGTTCTATTTATCTTTTTTGACTAAACGGTTCCATTAATTTGGAAAGTACCTCCAGCAAGGGGCTCAC